CCTAAACTTCATATGAAAAGGAAAGGACTTAGATACAAAAACAAATCTGAAAAAGAAGAAATGTGGAGAATTAACACTACCTATTTCAAAAATTATTATACAAGTATACACTAGTCCATAACAAATAACATGGTATTGGTGTCAGAATAGAATAGATCAATGGAACAGAATGGAGTCCAGAAATCATACATCCACAGAAAATTTTTTATAAACATGCAAAGATGATAGAGCAGAGAAAGGATGGTGTTTTCAACAAATGGTACTGGAACAGCTGGATATCTACATGCCCAAGGAAGAAAAAGTGAATGTGAATCCACACAAAAATTAACTCAAACAGGATCATAGACCTAAGTGTAAAACCTAAAACTGTAACACTTCTAAAAGAAAAAAGGAAGAAAAAACCCTGTAACCTTGGGTTGGGAATGATTTCCTAGATACAATATCAAAAGCATAAAAGAACACATGAATAACTTGGGTTTCATCAAAATTTAAAATGTCTGTTCTATAAAAGACACTTTTAAGAGACTGTATAGACAATCCACAGACTGAGAGAAAGTCAAAACACACTTTCGAATGTTTGCAAAACATGTGAGTATATCTCATAACGGACTTGTATCCAGAATATATAAAGAATGCTCAAAATTCAGTAAGAAAACCTAGGTTTAAAAAAAAAAAAAGCCAAAAGATATAGACAGATTTTTCACTTTTTTTTTTTTTAAAAAAAAAAGATGACCGGTAAGGGGATCTTAACCCTTGACTTGGTGTTGTCAGCACCACGCTCACCCAGTGAGCGAACTGGCCATCCCTATATGGGATCCGAACCCGGGGCCTTGGTGTTATCAGCACCACACTCCCGAGTGAGCCACGGGCCGGCCCCTTACATCCTTTTTTGTAATAGCCAATAGTGGAAACAACACTTTATTAGCAAGGATAGAAGATGCATAGTTACTCTCATTCATTTCTGGTGGTAGTATAAATTATAATTCCTACATTTCATCAAGAGCCAACAAAATAATTCTACAGATAGAACTGTAGTGTATCACATTAACTTTGTAATAGCAAAAGGTTGGAAGCAACTCAAGTATCCATCAATAGGGAAACAGATTTTTAAGTATTTAACACTCTGTAGGTATCAAATACCCTGGAGATATTTAATATCCTTGTATTTGTTTGCTAGGGCTGCCATAATAAAATACCACAGACTGGGTGGCTTAAACAACAGAAATGTTATTTTCTCATAGTTCTGGAGGCTGGAAGCTCAAGGTGTTGGCAGGTTTGGTTCCTTTCTCCTAGAGCTTGCAGTTGGACACCTTTTTTCTGTGTGTTCACATGGTTGTCTCTGTGCATGCACACGTCTGTCTTTGTGTGTCCAAATTTCTTATTAAGGCTACAGTCATATTGGATTAGGGCCCACTCATATGACCTCATTTTACCTTAATCACCTCTTTGAAGACTCTATCTCCAAATACAGTCACATTCTGAGGTCCTGGCATTAAGACTCCAACATATGGATTTTGTGGAACACAACACAGCAATACAAAGAATGCTATGTATGTTTAGAAAAGAATGAGGAAGGTAAGTATATAGAACAGTATTTTGTGGAAGGGTGAAACAAGAATTTATATTCATTTTTTAAATTTGTATAAAAACACCCAATATATACTCATGAAACTAATAAAAGTGTTTAGCTGTGGGGATGGGAATGGAAATGGGATGAATGAGGACAGAGGTGGAAGCGAGACTGTTGTTGTCTACTTTATGATACATAGAGCTTCCATACCCTGTGAATATATTACATATTTTCTGTAAAGTTACAAAATAGAATGATAAATTCAACTCATCCGAAATACTAAGAATTGCAAAAAAGCAATAAGTCTTCTGAAACCTGCATCTCCCTCTTCCACATCCTAAAAGGCAAATATATTATGGGTATCATTTTTTTAAAAAAAGTTATATGACTAAGAAAAAAGAGGGAAAACAAATACATAACATTAGAAATAACCATATATATGTACAGAAGAGAAAAAAATCAATACATTTCAAAATATAGATTAAAATAGGCTATTTAGAAAAATATAATGAACTAAAAATTACTCAAGAAAATGTAAAACGTGACCAAATACTAAAAAAAAAAAAAATTCATCAAAGATCAGTATCTCTTCCCTAAAAAAGATGCACACCCAAATGGTTTTACGTGTGGTAAAGCTATTTAAAAGATTACGTTTCTACTACAAATAGAAAAAGGAGCGACACCAACTTGTTTTAGACGAGCAGAATGCTAACACCAAACCTGGCTGTGGCAACCACACAGAGTTCTGCCTTAAGTGGTTCACGCAGTCGCTTCAGTGCATCTTGCTCACCCGTAACTGTGCTGACTGATGGGAGGTGGTAGCAGTGTACTAGTCCAGGACTGGACCTAGCCTTCCAGAAAATCAGCAGTTCCCATTTCCACCATCTTAACACTGTGGGAGCACTGAGCTGCCAGGCAAGATCCTTGCCTCCTTGCTGGAGAAGACCATGTGAGAGACCGATGGAAACAGGAAGCCGAGCCCTTCCAGCTAGGCCTCCATCTGAGCAACTGCATCAGACATCTCAAGATGTGCAGCGCTGCCCAGCTGAACCCTGGCAACCCACAGAACCATGAGATAATAAAATGGCATGGTGTAAAGCTGCCATGTTTTGGGCGGTTTGTTTCACAGGAATAGACGATTGGAAACACTGACAAGGCACAGACTCACACGCACCCTGATCCAAAACACTATAAACCAGCATCACTTACTGCTGCAAAATTCCCCCCCAAAATATCAGCTAATCAAACCTAACAGTTCACTAAATGGTTAACACACCACGGCCAAGAAGAGTTAACCCAGGAATGCAAGATAGTTCAACATTAAAATTCTATTCATATAATTCATAACATTTAAGGGTTAAGAGAGCAACCATATGATCATCATATTTGCTAATTACCACTGTTTTGTTTGTTTTAAACTACAGTATTGAATTTACTTTGAGGTTTCAAGTTGCATGGGGGGAGTCCACAGGTTTTGGTATTTTTTCCTTGAGAAATACGGGATAGAAACATTGAGAAAGAGGACTGTGGCCTTTCAATCAAGTCAAGAAAAAACTAAGGCTGCAGCTATTAACAGCAGTGATCAGCATTTTTCTGAAAGTTCTAGACAGCAAAATCAATGTGAAAAAGTAATGACTTTACAACTTTTTTTTTTGGTGGCTGGCTAGTATGGGAATCTGAACCTCTGACCTTGGGTTTATAAAGCTGCACTCTAGCCAACTGAGCTAACTGGCCCGTCTAGTCATAAGTTTACATAAATATTAGAATGTGACCAAATCATCATAATTTGCAGCTTTCTAACATACATCAGCCAAAGCCAGTTTTTGAAAATATAATAAAGATTCCATTTACGTTAGGAACAAAAACTACAAAATAATTGGGAAAACACACAAAAGAAATGGAATTGTACTATACATATGGAACCAGTTATTAGTGGGCACACTGGATGGCAGTATTTAGAAGAGGGAACTTACCTTCATCAAAATAATTGGGAAAACACACAAAAGAAATGGAATTGTACTATACATATGGAACCAGTTATCAGTGGGCACACTGGATGGCAGTATTTAGAAGAGGGAACTTACCTTCATTTTCTATATTTTACCTTTTTTTTCTCTTTTACTGCACATATATTACCTTTACAATAAGAAAAATAAGATATATGTTTAATACGTTAACCACAATTCTACATAGAGAGCCAGTCAATGTAAATTGATACACACTACAATTTCAAATTTTTAACTAGTATACATTCATTTCAAATAAGGACTATCTTATTATTTTATTCAAGGAATCAAACCCAAAGGACATCATATGATGTAAGTTCAGGAGTGATGCTGGGTTAGCTACATGATACCATCCTTCATGTAAGTTTACCCTCAGAGCTATCCTGAGTGGATTCTAGAGCTCACCGATGCACATGGTTCCCCATGCTCTATGAGTAGATATGAGGGAGAGAAGTGACCACAAACCCACAGCTAAAACATCAACATCATCCATCCCATTCACTAGGGAAACTGCTCTTTTTGTTTATCACGAGATTTAGATGACAATCAGTCTGGCTGCAAAAACTATGAGGAGAAATTATTTTCAATAATGAGAATAACCTTCACTGGGTGACTACTGACCTAAGAAAACAAACAGATCCACCTACTTCCTAAAGTCTGTTACCTGATTTCTATATTTGGCCAGAAACACTACCGTATATAAAAATAAAACTCAGCTGGTTAGAGCATGGTGCTAATAACACCAAAGTCCAGGGTTTATCCCTGTACCAGCCAGCTGGACCTTCCCTTCCCCAATAAATAAAACTGCACATATTATATGTGCCAGGAGCTGGTTTAGCCGGACTTTTCAGTTTGAATGCCTTTCAGATGATGTGGCCAGGCTGATCATGGAGGGCACTGGTAGGGAAAGGCCACTGACTACAAGGCAAGACCAGTGTGTGCCTCTCCAACTCCTACCATTCACAGTCCAGCAGACAATAACAACTGCCCTCCACTTAGCCAACCCACTCTCCATGTGACTTTTCAGTCTGTGACTCTCAGGGGAAACTGCACAAAGTTCATTCTCTAGCCCCAATTTCTATGTCCCACTCCAAAGTGATGATATGGGCGATCACTCCGCAACTATGAGCCAGACCACCCACCACTGCTAGAAACAAGCAAAATCCATCGTGTCCTTCCTTTCTTCCTTCCCAAACAGCCAGATGATAAATTAGTTTGCCATTAAACATTAAACATAGTGAACATTTTTATAGACCATCATCTTCACCAGCCCATGTGATCTGGAAACATGTATTTCAGAAATTTGGCTCCCTGGCTTGCACAATGTGTACTACCATAAAACAACACAGGATGCACAAGGATCTACCTTCTTCCTATACAGCCAAGTGACTCTCATTTTTTTAAAAAGAAATTCAAATGTGATGTTTACTTTAATTTTAAAAATATATTGTAATAACTGTAGCAATGTTATAATTACAGACACAGTTTATTACAAAAAGGAGTAGGAAGAACAGTATACAACATAGAAAAACAGAAGTCCTTAACAGCTAGCAAATTATACTCCTAGTCAAGTATTCCTGGTTACCTTAAAGAATGTTTATAACATTTAAAATCAAAGAGGGAGGTGGAGAGAGTGAAATGTAGAAGATTTGTGAGTGAGTTCAGCCTCGCACGGCAGGCAGAGCCTGGCAGGGCCTCTGCGTAGTCATGACAGGACGTGCTCCAGAACCCCTTGTCTAATCAACTGCTCACACTTCCACCGAGGCAAAAAGTGCTGAGGGGAGAAAAGGGGTGGGGGAAGAATAAGAGAAAAGGTTGGCAAAGAATTTTAAGGTACCTTTTGCATCATTAAAAAGCACCAGCTGATAAGACATTTTTCAAACTCCAACAGCTGAGTAGTTAAAAGCTAAATTATATTTGCTGAAATTGATGCCACTTAGGCTGTACTGAAACTGGTTTTTACAAATGAATTCATAATTTGCTTATGTTAAATTCAGCTAATGAATTCTGAATTCTAGTAGGTATCTTCCTTAATGCTTGCATTTTTAAATTTATGCACAGAAAAACCCAGGTATGTGAGATTTGGGGCACTGAATTGTAAGTGGTACAGGAGCCCATTAGGAAGACCAATGAAAGGAGCATCTTCTCCATGAAACCTGTTCTAGGATTTGAGAGTCTGAATATTTGTTCTAAAGAACAGTGGCCACTTTTCTACTATATTTTTCAAGGATTAAAAGTATTTGTAACCTAGTGTTGGTGCTGTTCACATGCTGTGTGTGCAGACACTGGTACCCAGGTAATGCTCATCCTGTGTCCTCCTGTGAGGACAGGGCTCTTGTTCTGAGGGCAGGCAGAGAGAAGCCTGTCTCCTTGCCTCTCAAAACACAGGAAGTGAACATTACTGCACTCTGGAGTAGGGAGGTACAGGAAGCAAGACCACAAGACTTTCCAAGCTCACAATGATCATGGAAATCTCAAAGCAAGATATAACTGGGTGAAAATTCAAAACACAGGAAGTGAACATTACTGCACTCTGGAGTAGGGAGGTACAGGAAGCAAGACCACGAGACTTTCCAAGCTCACAGTGATCATGGAAATCTCAAAGCAAGATATAACTGGGTGAAAATTAAAAAACAGTGCATTACAAGTCTGGCCGGTTGGCTTAATTAGCAGGTTAGCATGCAGCCTTGTAGGACCAAGGTCAAGGGTTCCGATCCCTCTATCGGCCAGCCACAAAAAAAAAAGCTTAAAAACAACACATAAACTCAGAAAATAACTGCAGCAGGAGAGATTGCCAAAATTATTCACAGAAGCAAAATGTAACTTTGGCAGCATTTTGCACCTGAAGGTCCTGCTTCATAAACAAAGGTCTTATGGGAGACCCCGGGGCCAAATTCTTCCAAACTAGTCATGAAGATACACAGGCCAAGGACTGTTGCCTAACTTGTTAACTGAGTTTTTAAAAAGCCTTAAAAATGTAAATGTAAAAAAAAAAAAATAAAACATTAAAAAAAAAAATAACAAAAACACATTTCTAAGGCAGTTATTAAAAACACACAGGGAGTTCTGATTTCTGGACAAAAAGCATCAGTACTTGTCATGTTGACAAGTATAAAAGAATATATGGTGAGAAAGTGTTTCCCTACTAGTGTTTTACATTTTGTGGCTGATCTATACCACAGATTCTATAGAAAATTAATTTTCGATGTGGTTAATTTTAGAAGCTCCTTAATATCAATTGTAGTTGATATTTAGTTTTTTTTAAAATGTCTCCATTTTTATAACTGAAGGTAGGATGATAGCTGTGAGACAAAATTAAAAGCATCGCCAAGAGGAGGGCTTCTGCACAGTCCACTCCCAAGGCTGGGGAGTCTGCCTCAGCACCCTGGTGGGAATGTCAGCCATAAAGCTTAAGAAAGAAATTCAACAAGACAGTGTTTGGGATGAAGTAATGTCTTCATATATCTTGAGGTCAGCTTTGTTCTTGTGAACCAGAGCTTTCTGCTGGGTCCTCCAGTAACAATTTTTATGAGAGCATAATTCATTCTGGACAAAAAGCATCAGTACTTGTCATGTTGACAAGTATAAAAGAATATATGGTGAGAAAGTGTTTCCCTACTAGTGTTTTACATTTTGTGGCTGATCTATACCACAGATTCTATAGAAAATTAATTTTCGATGTGGTTAATTTTAGAAGCTCCTTAATATCAATTGTAGTTGATATTTAGTTTTTTTTAAAATGTCTCCATTTTTATAACTGAAGGTAGGATGATAGCTGTGAGACAAAATTAAAAGCATTGCCAAGAGGAAGGCTTCTGCACAGTCCACTCCCAAGGCTGGGGAGTCTGCCTCAGCACCCTGGTGGGAATGTCAGCCATAAAGCTTAAGAAAGAAATTCAACAAGACAGTGTTTGGGATGAAGTAATGTCTTCACATATCTTGAGGTCAGCTTTGTTCTTGTGAACCAGAGCTTTCTGCTGGGTCCTCCAGTAACAATTTTTATGAGAGCATAATTCATCATTGAGTTTCTGAGTTTCTCTTTGGACTGCCTAGGTATTAGATGTGTGTGTGCTGAATAAAAACTATTCCTATTTCAACCAAGGCTCCAAGGACCTTTTTGCCAGTTACCTAGCTCACAGACCTGCGTGTGAAGGGTTTGTGAATGGGCTCGAGGGGTCTGTGAGCTCCAGACCCAGCCCTAGCTCTACAGCATTATATATATAAATGCCCACAGTAAAAGTACGAGAATTTCTGTTTGTTTCCTGTGTACATAGGTCTAGTACTACGACTGTGGTATGCTAATGGTTCCAACTGTCCTGTTTGATAAGGAGGAAAAGGAATGGCAAAATCTTTGAATGTATCTCAGTGCTAACAGCAAGAAAATCCATGGAGCTAGGTAAGGAGAGACAACATCGCTGGATCCTTTCCCCTCTGCAAGTCTTGAAAAATGTAGTTGATATATCTATCTACAAAGGATGTTTTAGATTTGCTCCAACCTGCTTCTTATAGATCCCTCCCATGGAATATCAGTATCTGAGAATAGGACACAGTAAGTCTGCAAAATTTCTGTTTTTGAAAAAGATTATTCCAATCTCCCTCAATACTCAGATTCTTCCCCAGGAATACTCAGAAGTACATTATGAAAGGGCAGATGCGGCCTCACAAGACAAGAACTGGGAGAGTATCTTGGTCAGAAAGGGGGTGGGGTAAGGCAGCCTTTTTATAAACCATTTCTGTAGCAGCAAAGGACATTCACATATGTCCCCAGATGAAGGAAAGACCCAGCTATAGCACTAAGTGCTGCCACAGGAAACTAGGTGGACATTTTTCATCTTCTATGAGAATTCAGACTGGAGTTTATTCTCCTGAGTACTAGGACTAGTCCAGTAAAGTCAACTCCAGCAGAAAGCCTGTCTTCTACTTTTCCAGATAATTTCATCATGTCCTGTGATTCCTCTGGAATCTTACCTTGACATCCGCAGTGTATTTTAACTCAGTTTGAGAAATACTACTCTAGAACCCCCCCCCCGCCCCCACCTCTTTGCTTCTTTAGACTATTATGGAAAATACTCAAATATATTCATAAGTAAAAAGACTAATATGATGACACTCCCTGTTCCCTTCAACAGGCTTTAACAATTATCAACATGTGGCCAAACTTGTTCCCCTCACCCAATTCTAGATTATTTTGAAGCAAATTCTAGATGTCATTTCACCTCGTCAATAAATATTTTACTATCTAATTCTATAAAATAAGATTCTTTAAAAAAAAATCTCAATACTATTACTTCATCTTAATAATTTTAATATCATAAGATATCGAGTTAGTATCCAGATTTCCCCACTTCTAAATTTTATTTAAAGTTTCCGTGTTGAAATCAGAAGCCAACAGAGTTACACATTACATGTTTTTCATATGTCTCATAAATCTTTTTTTTTTTTTTTCCTTTTTTTGTCTTTTTTCGTGACCGGCAACGGATCGCAACCCTCAGTGTCGCGCCTGTACCGGACCGGGACTGGCAGCGGGATCGCAACCCTCGGTGTTGCGCCCGCACCTCGCTCAGCCAGTGAGTGGCCGGTCTGTATGTGGGATCCGAACCCTTGGCGGGAGCGCCACCGCGCTCCCAAGCGGCGCACTGTAGCAGTGCGCCACCGGGCCGGCCCTCATAAATCTCTTTTAATCTATAGTTTTCCCTTTCTTTTAAAATTTTTTTCCTTCCTTTTGGCAATTTATTTGTTAAAGAAATCAGTTGGGTAGTTTGCTACAGCTTCCCACAATGAAGATTTTGTTGTGGATTTCTGTGGTGTCATTTAATAAGTTCCTCTTTCCCTAAATTTCCTATAAACTGGACGTTAGGTCTAGAGGCTTGATCAGATAAGGTTTGGTTTTCTGGCAAATGGTGTTATGTGCTTCTGTTACAAGACCACATGAAGCACAGTGTCTGGTTTATTTTCATAAAGGTTGGTCAGTGTGTCCGGGTGTTGTCCACGCCCATCCCTGCTCATCCAGTATAAAGGGCATAAAGGGTGGTCAGTGTGTCCAGGTGTTGTCCACGCCCATCCCTGCTCATCCAGTATAAAGGGCATAAAGGGTGGTCAGTGTGTCCAGGTGTTGTCCACGCCCATCCCTGCTCATCCAGTATAAAGGGCATAAAGGGTGGTCAGTGTGTCCAGGTGTTGTCCACGCCCATCCCTGCTCATCCAGTATAAAGGGCACCACTAACTATTCACTGAAAGGTTTTAGGAGCTAGGTGTTCCATGCATTAGGGTTGCAAAATGGCATTCTTCTAGTTCTCTTATTCACGTTGCATTTGTTACCTGGAATTCTTATATAACAAGACATTTCCCTTGTAAACTAATGGGCTACCCTGAGACAGTGTTTGTACAGTAAAGGCAGATGGACACTTGATTTCACTATCTAATTTGCCACCTTTCAAAATGACTTGGGTTGCTCATATTCCTCAAGGGGGCCAAAGAGGCTTATTTTTAAAAATTTGTTATTTGGTGTAATGCATTCACACTTCTAGCATAACTGATGTGATTCAATTCACTGCAGTTATTGCTCATTTTGATACCAAAACTGTTCATTATTTGGCCAGTGAGAGCTTCTTCAAATTGGCTCCAAGTCCTTCTAGCCCTTGTAGTCCTTGATACTTTCTTTCCTTCCTAGGAAGGTGTTCCATCACTTGGAGTCAGCCACTTTTTTCAAAGCGTCCTGGTTTCCTTTACTGGAAAATGGCATATAGACCCGTTGTTTCCAGGCCTTTTCAGTAAGCAAAACTAATAGATACTTTTTTTTTTCTCCAAAGAACAGATAATTCATGAGCCCATGCTGATATTTTAAACTCAAATTTAAGAATATAGGATTTTTCCTTTAACTTTTTTTTTTTTTTTTACAACTTAGTATCTGAATATCTTTTTTTTTTTTGTCTTTTTTGTCTTTTTTC